TCCCCAGGAGCGCGGTGCATCATGAATATCACCAATATCCACAAGCATAGTACCACTTCCAAATTGGAGCATGCATGCTATCAGGCGAGGGCTTCAGGATCTATTGGGCAGAGCATTTTTGTCGCCTATTGCGTGGGACTTCAAGAGATGTTTGTCAGCACTCCAAATGTTCTGGGCCCCAAGGCAAAGCCGTACATCCTGTAGGGTTGCCCAAAGTTGCGGACATATACGTCAGAGTTTTGTGCTTTCGACCGCGTGCCCAGGTCCATTATTCCAGCGACCCAGCCCCAAACCCAATGCAGTTTCCCTTGCCTGTTGAATTTTTGTTTCCATTTAATTCTCTATCATTGGGCTCACCTGATAGCATAACCAGAATGTACAGTGCACTGCCCTAAACCTTAAACCCTAAACTTAAAACCCAAATCTGCTGCAAGGTTGCCCGCAATTGCGATGGATGGTTTGTCACGGAGTTTACGGAGTGTGTTGGCAAGAAGGCTGCCCTCCTGGTGGGACATGGCATTAGCGAGCCTCCATGAAAAAAGCTCAAGCGTTTTTTGCTTGTAATCGGCTTCGCTGCTGCCCGCATCTTAGAATCGCATTGAGGCACAGCGTTAAGGGTTCCTTCTCTCGTTTTGATCCGTTTAAGAAAAAATGAGTGCAGGCTCCAGTGTTAACGTTCCTCCTGCAGCTGTTTCCCAGTCCGAGTGTGGCAGCATGGCCAGCTCCTGCTGACACCTCCGCAGCCCTGCATAGAAATTGACGCAGGGACCTTCCTCGCTCAGAAACAGGCCCTGGAGCGGGGAAGAAGTTGCAGAAGAGCAGATGCAAAGATTAACAGGATGCTTCAGTCAAAGCAGATCTAACGGAAGCAAAGACCATGGTGCTCTTCAGCACAAGCCCTCTTTGAGAAACTAACAGGTGTCGGGAGTACATTCCCATGCGCAAACCCTGGCAACTTCGGAGGCCCCAAGAAGCCTGTCACAAGCGCACGTGCTGTTTGTATCCTTGCTGTCATCATGCTTGATGTTGTAAGTGCTCGTGTTGCTGCAGTTGTAATGGTTGTTATGACCTTAGATTGGAGCCATGGGCCACATATTCCTATTGAATACCCAGGACATGCGCTTGAAGGCCCCTGAGTCTCAGTGAAGATGCTAAGGGCCCATGTGAGGGGCCCATATTTCCAACCTTTCCAAAGCTTAGACATCAGGACTGTAATCCTGATAGCTTTTGCCTAGTAATGTAGACACCTGATTAATAAACCCCCACCCGTTCAGGGCCTTAATATTAGGATCCTTATTATAAAACCCATTAAGGGGATGGGGCTTATTAATGAGGACTTTACGTTAACTGCTTGTAATCCTAAAGCCCTAAATATGGTAGTGGCATTTCTTTTCTTTTCCATTCCCCCGTTCCTCTATAAGCACCGGGTAGCCTATTGTTGGTGCTACGAGCCCGTGCATGACCAGAGTAAGCCTTAGCCATTTTGCCCAGGGTACGCGCCGCTGAGGGTCACACAGGATTTGGAACCCCCAAACCCTTACAGTAAACCCCAAACCATAAACTAGCCCTTCCACCCGAAACCTAATTCCTAAACCCTAAGCCATAATGAAAGATTCAAACTGTGGGCCATTAATCCTGGGGTCCTAAATCATAGACCCGAAGCTGCAACCCCTTTCACAAAAACTGTAGAAACCAAATCCGAAATCCTAAAAACCTTAAACCCCAAACCCTGAAGCCCAAGCCCCAAACCCCGTAGTTGCCGAGGCGAAAGACCCGATGGCCCAACTCAAGGCGCGCACTGCCGCCACAGCTGCTCCGGCCTCAGATAGTGATAGGGGTTGCGGGATGTTATGGGTTAAGGGTTTGGGCTTAGGGTTCAAGCCCAGATGCAAAAGGGTTCAGGGTTTAGGGTTTAGGGTTCGGAGTTTTAGGCTTGAGGTTTTGGGGTTTAAGATTTTGGGGTATAGGGGTCAGGGTTAGGGGAGTTTAGCAACCCCAGCGCCCAAAGGGAACATGATAATGGAAACTGATTAGGCTTATGTGGGTCTAGATAGGTTGTATTTTACGGGGGTTACACAGTGCTATAGAGGGTAATGGAAAAGAAAATGAAAGTTGTCCTTTTTAAGGTTTAGGTCTTCGGGGTATTTACCCCCAACAATGGGGAATCAATTAAAGGAAGTTCACCGCGTAGAAATTTTGGATGGAAGGATTGAGGGTTCACGATTAAGGGCGAGAAAGGCTCAAGGGTTTAGGATTGAGGTTTTAGGATTTAGACTTAAGGGCTTAGGTGTAGGGTTAGTCCAGGACATGATTTTAAAGTATTGGATGAAAGGATTCAGGGTGTAGGATTTGGGGTTTAGGGTTTTGGTTCAACTGCGTCAAGGTCCATACACAAATTGCAATGGCATTGGATTAAAGGACTTGTGGTTGCGGATTCATACACATAATCAACAAGTGTTGAATTAAGGGATCAGCGGGTTAATCCAGAATTAGGGTTTAGGGTAAGAGATACATCGCAAAGTAGTAGGACAGGGTTTGAGGTTCATCCGGGAAACTATTTGAATTGTGAACTGTTTACTTCAAAACCTAAACCACAAACGGTACTGATGCAAAGGCTTATTGGCACTAAGCCCATGCCATAGGAAAGAGACCACTTGATGAACCCTAAATCCGAAACCTTAATGCATCATGAGATTACTACGTGGGTTTACGGTTTACGGTTGTTTAGGGTTCCAAAAGCAGGGTGTCCCCCCTTTGCTATCCTTAAATGTTACGATCCTTATCATCGGAACCCGGAACTCATTTTTCTGAGAATCCCGATGTAGGATTTAGGATTCAGGGTTTAGGGTTTAGGGTTTAGGGATGTAACATCTGTTCGACAATATCTGATAGCCTAATATGTAAGACAAAGGTTTAATGCAAAACCTCAAAAATACTACATGTTCTCCAGTAAGTAAATGTCATGTACATGGAGTAGTAGTTCGGCTGTACGATATACTACCCAATTACATATCACTGTGTTTATCATATGTTTCGCATTCTACTCGTGCATGTAGCAGGAACAGTACAGTAGCGGGGATCTTGTAAAGTTGAGGCCTCCAATGCTAAAGTAGCTTTTCACGCAATGACAGCCACTATAGGATATTTCAGGTAGCTTCATAGTATATACACCCTCTCATATAGTACGATATGAACATGCAATGTTCAAACTTGTGCCTCATTCATGCAGTTGTGTAGGACCGGTTGGGAAGCCTTCTTTGTATTCGGTGAAACATGAATCAGACAGATTGAGCTCTTAGCGGGGGTTTAGGGTTTACGGTTTTAGGGTTTAGGGTTTAGGGTTTGGCACAGAGCAAGTGGAGAGGGCAGTCTGATCTGGTTTTCATGTTTAGCGGTCTTATTCCCCAAGACTGTCTGATTTTCAAAGCCCTTGCAGGACATTCTGTGTAGATGTTCACGGGGTGAAGGCTTTCAAGATTAGCACGTTATCAGGGCGCGCAATTCATCGTCGCTACCTCTCTGCTGTCTTCGGCATTATCATGCTGGGCAATAGAGAAGTCAGCATATTCTGACATAACTGGCCTTCGGTTTGCTAGGAATGGAGAAATGGATCCTTTTCGTCGTCCCTTTATAACCTGTTCTAGTCGTTTCCATTTTCTTTTTCATTCCTTCATTCCCAGCTAACCTTAAACCCTCAACCCTAAACCCTACATAGCCCCATTATAGTAGTTTGCATTTGGTTTTCCATTCCCAGCTAACCAAACCCCAAACCCTAAACCATAATTGCAGCCGTGCTTGCTTCTGCGATGCGCGTGTCTAAACCATAAACGCTAAACAGATAAGACCTTTGCAAGATGGCGGCCCCTGCTCAGGCGGAGCGGGATCGAGTTGCGAAGGTGTGCCTGCCTAATGGTTGCCACTCTATGTGCGGGTTTCCTAAAAGGGATACATATGGTTTAGGGTTTAGGGTTTAGAGTTTCCCAAGATTAGGGGTACCTTTGTAGGGGAATTATATGGGTTCATTGGGATAACCTGAAAATTGGGGGTACCTTTTAAGGGGGAGTATAGAGATTATATAGGGGCTACATGGGGATATATAGGTTTAGGGTTTAGCGTTTAGGGCTTGGGGTTTAGGGTTTCCTAGGGGTACCTTATTGGGGTCCCCTATATAAGAATTGTAATGTAGTGGGGCCTGTATTGGGGGTCCCCTTATTTAGGGAATCTACCATGTGGACATGTCTTGTATGGGAGGGATGCTGTGTGGGAAGCTGAGAGGGTTACGACGGAAACCTGTGAAGTTTGAATGGGAATTCCCTGGAGGCTTCTTGCAGATTGATCTAAATTTGGGGGTGAGTTTATTGGGGAAGGAAGCAAGTTAGTGTGCTGGGAATATTTTTGCTGGGCAAAGATCCTGACCAGGCACGGCGTTTG